TATCTTAATTTATCTGATTTTAGATAAAGTATTGAATTGAGAGGCTTAACCATCTGTTTAATTTATAACATATGTAACGTAAATTTTTAATATTCACCAGTCATTTTAAGTAATATAATGATATGCATAAATTATTAAGGTTAGTTTATCCCCCTTAAGGCATCATTTACGCTCAAGTATCTTAATGAATTTCAGATACTATTAAATATTCTTGAAATTTTCAAATTAAAAAAAAAAAAGAAAACTTATAAATATTGAAAAACTCCAAATCTGGGATATTTAATACTTTTTTATAAGGGGGAACAACATTTTCCCACCTATGGTTTGGCAAAATGACACTTTCTCACCCACAAGTTTCAAAATGACACTTTCTCACCCTTTGTTAGGTTCTATGTTTTCCGTTAATATTTTATTGAAAAGACCATAATACCCTTAAATATTTTACTTTATAATTTTTTTTTTTTAATTAGCTAAAATGTCAAAAAAGAAAAAATAGTTAACTCCATCTAAAAAGTTAAGAGTAATGCTATAAAATTATTTAAAGTTAAATAATCTTAATATTTATTTATAATGTCATCAATATCTCATCACTATTATTTATAATGTTTTTCATTTTTTACTAATTAATATAAAAAATCAATATTCCTAATTAATTAAATAAACAAAGAAAAAAAAAATATCTTTACACTTGGATTAATGAATAATCAAATAAAAACTTTGACTTAACTAAATTTTAATTTGTAATAAACTAATTAAAAAATAAATTATTTAAGAGTATTTTTGTATTTTCAATCAAATATTAACAGAAAATACTAATAGAACCTAACAAAAGGTGGGAAAGTGTCATTTTGAAACTTGACGGGTGGAAAAGTGTCGTTTCATCAAACCTTAGGTGGAAAATTGTTGTCCCTTTTTATAATCATTAAAGCACTTAAGACATAGGGAAGGTACCTTTTTTTTTTTTTTTTTTTTTTTTTTTTTGCTTATAAGCTAGTTTGACAAAGTATATTATCATATTATTCTTGTTTAATTTTAAAATTTCATAGTATATCATTGTTTAATATAGTACCATTTTTAGTCATTTTATAATAAAACGTACTTATAAGTCACATTTTACCAAACACGTTAACTACTTATCAGTCACTTATAAGTACTTTAATCAAATACGTAATTACTTAAAATTTCAAATGCTTATAAGAGTATTTTCGTCTTTTCAGTTAAATATTAACAGAAAATACTTATATAACCTAACAAAGGGTGAGAAAGTGTCATTTTGAAACTTGACAGGTGCGAAAGTGTCGTTTTGTCAAACCTTCGGTGGAAAATTGTTGTCCCTTTTTATAATCATTAAAGCACTTAAGACATAGGGGAGGTACCTTTTTTTTTTTTTTTTTTTTTGCTTATAAGCTAGTTTGACTAAATATATTACTACATTATTCTTATTTAATTTTAAAATTTCATAGTATACCCTTGTTTAATGCAGTACTATTTTTAGTCATTTTATAATAAAATGTACTTATAAGCCACATTTTACCAAACATGTTAACTACTTATCAATCACTTATAAGTACTTTAATCAAACACGTAATTACTTAAAATTTCAAATGCTTATAAGCTAAAATTATCTTATAAACACTTATTGCTTATAAGCTAATTTTCATAAACTCAGACAAACACCCTCATAATCATCTCTAAAACGACGAATGAAATTAACACAATTATAAGTTATATACAAATACTGTAGCTTTAAATATAATTCACATTTCACAAGTTCACATAACACATAAATATATTAGTAATTAAAATCAAAATTATATATTTATAATATTGTAAAAATATAATTGTTGTAAAATGTAATGGATTGCTATGAGTGATTTTTTGAAATTGAAAATTTAAGGCTTATTATGTTACCTCCCTTTGATATTTGGGGGAAATATCAACAAACTCAAAGGTATTAGAAATCATCTGCTACCTTCTCTCACATTTAATAAAATCATCACTTGCCTCTCTCTTGATCATATTCATAGATTTTTCCAAATCTGAAAGGACGTTACTAATAATTTCTCATACTTTTGGGGTTTATTAATTTCTTTAAATCTTAGGGAGGCTTAGGATAATAACACTTTTAATTAAGGTCACGTGACGTGTAGGATGACTCAAGTCATTCAGTTGGAAACCATCCCATATCTTCTAGTTAAGATAACAGTAGAATACTTATAAGTAAAGAGAAGGCAGTAACAGATCGTCTCTTCGGAGACATCCGATAAAATTGGAACGATACAGAGAAGATTAGCATGGCCCCTGCGCAAGGATGACACGCACAAATCGAGAAATGGTCCAAATTTTTTTTCTCATTTTTTCTTCTTTCTGATTTGATGCTGTATTCTGTATTAATATTTATGGGTTCCCTTTTTTCTTCTGAGTTGATGCGTGTTCTGTATTGATATTTATGGGTTTCGTTTGATGATATATTGATGGGTTTGATTTTTTGGTTTCAATTATTTTTCTTTTCTGGGTTTGATGCTCTGTTCTGTATTGATATTTATGGGTTTGGGTTTTGTTTGGTAATATTTTGATTGATTCTGTGTTGATATCGATGGTTGCATGCTAAATTTGATGTGTTTAAACCTTCTTATTTAGCTGATTTTTAATGTGCTTGTTTTATATGGCAATAATTAATTGGGGTCTTCTTCTTCCGTTCCAAGATTCCTCCATGGATTAGTGTTTCTGAAATAGCTTTTTAACAGAATCACTGAATGCATAATGGCCTGTGTAATTGCTCTGTTGTTTAAGTAACCTTTAAATGTCATTATGTTCCGATATATTTTCTCTGATTCTGCGATAATTTTGGTTGTGGCTTGTAATATCTGTATGTTTTGAAGCCTTGATTTATTTGCTTTATTACATGTGGGGCAGGGGCTCTTTCTTTCTTTAGATTGCAGTCTCTTTGAATTTCTGTTCCGGAAATAGCATTAAAGTTATCACTCTAACTGAATATTCAAAACAAGCAATGATTGAGTAACTAAATTTAACTTAATTACATTATACTGAATCTTCTAATTTTACTAGCTGATGGAGTTTTGAGGCCTGATGGTGTTTGCTATGTCTATGACAAATCGGTAACGAACATCTCCTTTGGCTAGACGATCCATGGCTTTGTTCGCATGATCCTTTGAAATAACTTCAACATCTGCTGTTACATATTGTTTTGCTGCAAAGTTTTAACATTTCTTGTATCTCCTTCATGCCCCCTGCTGAACTTCCCGCAACCATTTTTCTATCTGCATGGAAGTTTCATTCCCTTTTATGTAAGAAGCAGAAGAAGATGCTTGATGATTTCTTTTTACTATTCTTCGAAAACATATCTTTTAGAAGCTAAATGAAATGCTGGAGTAGATTTCAGATCCTAAAAGCTTTATTTATTGATTTATTTTTTTTTTCCATAAAACAAAGATAAAAACTAAATGAAAAACCGTGTTAACAAATTTCTTACCAAAAATTAAGGGCATAATTGATAACTCTGTTTGTTTCTCCAAACCATTAATTTTCCATTAAACTTCAAGAGACTTAGTAATGGCCCATAGCAGCCTGCTCCAATGTAACACAATCACAAAACAAATTAGACCTGAGAATGTTTGGGTTATCTTAAAGGGTTTGCATTAGCTTTAAAAAGTCTTTTACCTGCATTTGCTTCATGTCATAACTAACAATAAATGAATCGGCTTCACGATGTTGAATTGCTTTATTCTTTTTGCCTGGTGAAGCGCTTATCACAGTCACCTTCATTCCTAATGCTTTGGCAAATTTGCTAGATGACCTAACCCACCAAGAGCAACCACACCCACGTGCATTCCAGGTTTGTCGAGTCCATAGAATTTCATGGGGCTAAACAGTGTAATCCCTGCGCCAAAGTAATGGCGCAACACCCTCAGCAGAAAGATTTTCAGGAATAGAAAAGGCAAAGTGTTGATCAACAACAAGAATATCAGAAAATCCTCCATAGTTTTTATCCCCACCATCATCAAAGATTGTGCTGGTGTGGATCCTTTTAGGGCAATAGTTTTCCAACTCATTTTGGCACTGATCACAGCTGCCACATGAGCCGATTATACCTAACACTCCTCCCTTATCTCCTACTTTGAATTTTTGCACTTGAGTTACCACACCAACAATCTCATGCCTGTGAAATACAAATAAATAAATCAAATTGGGTATGATTTTAGAAGGAAAATTTCTGAAGGGATTGGTTTTAAGAACATTAACATACCCAGGAACAATAGGGTAGGAAGAAATTCCGAAATCGTTCTTGATTAAATGCAAGTCAGAATGACAAATCCCACAATATAGAATCTTTATTGTAATATCATTCTCTCCATTTGCCCTGCAGTTTAACAGCTAAAACTAAACCCATTTGGAATTTGAAATCATAAAAACAGAAGGAAGAATGAGGCATAAATGGACCTTCTAGTGAAATGGAAAGGATGAAGAATTCCTAAAGAATCTGTAGCTGCCCATCCAAAGGCAATTTGACGAGATTGCTCTTCTTGCAATTCTGACATGTTAGTGTTAGAGATGAATATAAATTTCAATCTGGTTTATTTTGTCGGCAGCTCTCTTATTTGTTTAGACTTTGATTGGATAGTGACCATGGCGGCTACACTACATTACATTGCCTCTTTCACAAGAATTAATTAATGATCATTTTCACTTGGCATATGTAATATAATTTCACTTTGACCGTAGCTTGTCTAAACTTTTTACTTTTTTATATTGTTATTATATGTTGATTGTTGTTTCTATATGATAATGTTTTGTTTATTTGGAATGGTATTTATTTTTAACATAAATATTATATTATATGTTAATCTAATTATTTATCACTAAAATAATTTGGAAAATAAGGTGGGTTTAGTGACATATATATAAAGGCAAATTTATCAAGTATCAGCAAAACCAAATTGTGTATATTTTAACTTAGTACATCTCAATTCAACTAACACCAACCCTAATGAAACAAAACATAACCAATCAACAAAAGCAATTTCATTTACTTGGGTAGAGTTGTTTTGGAGCTAAGGATTGAGCGTATTTGCAACGTCGATGACAAATCGATAACGAACATCTCCTTTAGCAAGACGATCCATGGCTTTATTTACGTAATCCATTGAAATAACTTCAACATTAGCAGTAATGTTATGTTTTGCTGCAAAATCTATCATCTCTTGTGTCTCCTTCATTCCCCCTGCCATGCTTGCTGATATTGTTCTTCTACCTGCATGCCCACCATCTTTATATGTAAATTTTAGTGCATATTTAAACAAATTAACAAGTTGAAATTGCAGGAAGCATGTGTTGTTTCTAACCAGAAAATAAGGGCATAACCGGTATCTCAATTGGCTTGTGCAAATCGGGTGGGGTTAACAATATGAGCTTTCCATTAAGCTTTAGAAGATTGAGTAATCCATTAAGCTTTAGAAGATTAAGTAATGGCAATAGAGACTGGGTTGGAGAGATTGTGGCAATGATGCCATCCAGTGTACCCACAGCACCCTTCACCAATAAATAATAATTATAAGCAACAATTAATAAAGAAAAATCTTTCCAAACAAACTGATTACCTCCATTTGCTCCATGTCATGACTAACAACAAATGAATCAGCTTTAAGCTGTTCAATTGCTACAATCTTTTTGCTCGGCGATGTACTAATAACACTCATCTTCATCCCAAACTTTACCGCAAGATGGCCTAATCCACCAAGACCAACCACACCCACATGCATTCTCGCCTTGTCCAGTCCAAAGAATTTCATGGGACTAAACACTGTGATTCCTGCACAAAGCAATGAAGCAACTCCCTCTCATGCCAGATTTTCAGGAATATGAACTGCAACGTGTTGATCAACAACAAGAATGTCTGAATATCCGCCGTAGTTTTTATCTCGGCCATTGTCGAAGACTGTGTAGGTGGTGATGCTCTTAGGGCAATAGCTTTCCAAGTCGTTTTGGCAACCATCGCAGCTGCCACATGAACCCACTGCCTTATCTCCAACTTTGAATTTGTGCACTTTGGCCCCCACTTGGATCACCTCTCCCACAATCTCATGTCTGTATAATACAATTATTCTTCAGAATGTAATGAAATTTGATAATGGGAAATGAAAGAGAGGGTAAGAATTAATTTACCCAGGGAGGACGGGGTAGAGAGAAATTCCATAAGTACTATTGACAGTGTAGAGATCAGTTCGACAAATCCTGCAGTAAAGAATCTTGAGTGTTATATCATTCTCACCATTGGCCTTGCGTACTTAATTGCAAAATTATAAAGAAAACAACGGAAAGTAATAAAAAAAAGAAAGATGTTGGGGCATCCATGCACATTCTAGTGAAATAGAAAGGATGAAGAGTTCCTGAAGAGTCGGAAGCTGCCCATCCGAAAGCTCTTTGTGTTTGATTTTCTTCTTCAAATCCTGACATTTTGTAGCTAGAGAGATAAAAAAGATTACGGAATAATAAGTATGTAGTAAATATGTATGAGAAGTTGAACTTAAAGAATGTTTTTATATTTTAATTTGAGAGACTGTATTTATAGTTTAGTTTTGTGTAATGAGGCATGTCAATTTTGACGTTAAGGGTGAGATTTGCAAGTCAAATTCTATGTTTGTACTTGTTCAAGGTTTCATGTTGATTCTATTTTCATTTAGATTTAATTTTGAGATAATTGTATTTACTCTCGATCTATTATAATTTAGATTCTGTAGTTTATTTATTATCTGACGTTAACCCACATAAAGATAAAATTGGTAATTCACTTGTACACATAAAGATAAAACAGATAACTCACTCATAATTCACTTGTTAAAAAAAAAATCGGAGTTTAAGATTTGGTTAACAATTGTTGGTTTGAAGGGTATTTCTTAGTATTTAAAATGCCATCGGACAATAAACTCATGGTGGCCAGGTTAAGTATTTCTCTTATATAATTTATTTTTAGGAGGCTTAAGTAAACCTTTCTTTTTGAAGCATGTTTAACATGATGGTAATTGTCACAGGGCCTAAACTCGTCTCTAGGCACTGCACAGCATAAGCGCACCAAGCACTTGTCAGCCTTCCTCAAGTTGTACGTTTCCCTGTTACAAAATTGCAAACACAATACAACAGAGGCTAATGAGAGTAAATGCACAACAGATACAGGAAAATCCCAACCTTATATTATATAATTCCGAATACAAGGAAACTCAAGCACTCACACAGTGTTTCCCGCTGTTTACAATCTGATCCCTAATCACAGATTCAGCACCCAAGTTACAACAAGGTATACAAGCACATATATCCCTTGCCCTCTCACCCTCTCACGAATTTACAGCCTGCTTGCCTTATATACAAATTGACATAGCAGTTACATAGGTTACAACAGCAGTTACAATCCTATCTAGCAGTTACATAGCAGTTGGCTTTACATACAAGTGTATCTAGACACATATAACCGCCCCACAACCTTTGTCCAGCAACCATGCAGCCTTGTCTGATTGTTCCCATCATCTAGTGCACGCCCCCATGCACCTCACGCACATTGCTTTTTGCCTCATGCATGAATTTAGCCACTTGTTGTCTGTCTTGCATGTTTGCACACGTCCCAGCTCGAGTGCCTCTGCTTAGCCTGCCCATGAGCGCACCACACCCATGTCAACACATGCCTACGCGCGAATGTTCTAGCTTGCAAGTGCCCACACCCGCTAGCCATCTCATCAGTAAGTACTTAGCATCCCAACACTCTAGCACCCATACCTCATCTCACCCATCCTTGTTCAGCACAAACCTATGTGTTGTCTTGGTAAGGTTGTGGCTAAGGATGAAAGCCACACGCCTGCCCTTGCCTTTGGCATTGAGGGTCTTACAAACCACCCCCATTAGAAGAGTCCGACGTCCTCGTCGGAATTGTGGAAATGTACTCCTATACAATGTTCTCAAACTGCCACAAATCTATATCTCTTTCCCACGAAACCTCGTTTTCTTTCCCCCTTTTCCGCTTCACCAAATACTCAATTCGACGACTCTTTTTATGCTGTGTCATCCTCCGATGATCTAAAATCTTTTTAATCTCATCATCAAATTGTTTTCAGATCATGGGAGGAGCTCTCTTAGCTTGAGTCCTTGAAGAATCCTCATTATTCGCATGGAATGGTTTCAAGAAGCTCACATGGAATATGGGATGTACCTTAATCCGTTCAAGCAGTTTCAACCTGTAAGCAACAGCACCCACTCTGCTTACAACCTCAAACGGTCCATCATACTTTGGAAACAATGCCCTATGCACCCGTTTGCTCTCGATTTTCTTCCAAATCTGAGGAGTGAGCTTGAGTAGTACCTGGTCACCCACCTCAAACTCTAACGGCCTCCTCTTAGCATCAGCATACTTTTTCATCCTTTTACTTGCCTTCCGCAAGCTATCTTGAGCTTGGTCAATGATTTCTTGCCTGTCCCTAGCCACCTTGTCAGTAGCAGGAAATTTCCCCTTTGCTGGATGTCTAGCAATCTCTATTGGGGTCAATGGTTGTTGCCCCAACATCAACTCAAAAGGACTTAGCTTAGTTGAGGATGATTTGTGCAGATTGTAGCAAAACTGTGCAGAATCCACCAACTTTACCCAGTTCCGTTGGCTAGCAGTAACATAATGTCGAAGATACTCTTCTAGCAATACATTCACTCGTTCAGTCTGACCATCCGTCTATGGATGATTAGCTGTAGAAAACTTCAATTCAATTCCCATCATATTGAACAGAGTAACCCAAAACCATCCAGTAAACCGTGCATCCCGATCACTAACCAAGTCTACTGGCACTCCAAAATATTTCACCGCGTTTTTATAAAACAAGGCAGCAGCTGTCTCCGCTGAACAAGCTTCTGGTGCTGCCATAGAAACTGCATATTTTGAAAATTTGTCCACCACAACAAAGATAGAAGACATACCTTCCACCTTTGGGAACCCACTAATGAAGTCAAGAGAGGCTAACACCCAAGGCCTCTCCGGAATGGGCAGGGGTTGTAACAACTCTGTTACCTTTCTCCTTTCTATTTTGTCTAGTTGACAAACCAGACAAGTTTTCACATAAGATCCAGTATCAGCTTCCATTTTAGGCCAATAATAATCTCTTGTCAACAAAGCCAAAGTTCTCTCTCTACCAAGATGTCCTGCCCATGGTGAATCATGGACTTCTTTCAGCAACAATTGTCTCAATCCACCCTTATTTGGGACATACAACCTATCTCCTTTGGCATACAATAACCCATCCTCTAACCAATAACGCCGTATAGTACCATCACGAACTTGTGTCACCAAGTCCTTATACTTAGCATCCTGATCAGCAACCACTCTCAACCTGCCCAACATGTCAGATTCCACCCGAGTTATTGCATATAGAGCAGCAACCACCTATTTCCTGCTCAAAGCATCAGCAACTTGATTGTGCCTTCCTGGGTTGTGTTGCCATGAAAAATCATACTCAGCCAAAAGTTCTTGCCACCGGGCCTGTTTTGGGGACAACTTCTTCTATGTCTTGAAGAAAGTATTAGCCACATTGTATGTCACAACTACAAATTTCGTGCCTAGCAAGTATACTCTCCACACCTGCAAACAATGCACAATAGCCATCATTTCTTTCTCATGTACAGAATACCGCTGCTCTGCCCCATTCAACTTTCGACTCTCAAAAGCTATAGGATGTCCCTCCTGTACCAACACCCTACCAATGGTTTTCTCCGAAGCATCCGTATGCACTTCGAAAGGGAACTCAAAACTTGGCAATCTAAACACCGGTTCAGAGGCAATGGCTTCCTTCAATTCTTCGAAAGCCTTGGAACACAATTCTGTCCACCCCCACGGTTGCCCTTTTTTCAGCAAATCTGTCAATGGTGCTACCTTCTTTAAGTACCCCGCAATGAACTTGCGGTAGTAGTTTGCCAAACCCAAGAAAGATCTCAACTCAGGAACTTTTGTAGGAGCCGACCACTCCACAATCGTTTGCACCTTCTTAGGATCCATCCTCACTTGGCCCTTACTCACCAAGTGCCCCAAGAACATTATTTCCTGTTTAGCAAACTCACACTTTTCCATTTTCACATACAACTGATGTTCTCTCAACCGCATTAGTACCCTCCTCAAATGAATCAAATGCTCATCCAAATTCCTGTTAGTGAATGACCCAGTTACGCAGCGGAAAACAAAAACATAAACTCTATGGATCGTTCCTTAGAACCAAGATCCGGATACAAAAATCACAATTTACTTTAAAATAACAAAATCTCAAAAAATCAGTTCAAGTTTTGAGAAACCATACCTACGTTTGGAGGCTCCACCAATATTGTCTCTGAACGTGTTTGCTACCGATCCAAGTGTAGGATTAAACCGTAGAGGTCCACACGAAGACAATCAACAAGAACCAAGGAGGGATTTGCTAGATCCTCCTTGGCCTTAAGAAATCAAGAAAAAAACAAAAGAAAGTGTTTGATTTTCAATCAAACAGTAAAGTGGCATGGGAGACTGTTTGTGGGGCAGGAGGTTTTCTCTTTCAATGAAAAATAGAATAATCAAAATAACACACTTACATTTTCAACTAAAACCTTTTCTTTTATAGTTGTTATTTTAGTTGCCCTATTCCCATATGGAATGGGCTTGAGCTCCAACCCAAACACCCCAAATTTTCCAAACACTCCCAATTAGATATTTTAATTTAATTCATCATTATTTCAATTAAAATCAATTAATATATATTTAATATATATATTAACATTTAACAATAATGATAATTTATTTAAATATATGCGAACATATATTTAAACGGAATTTCACTTATTTAATTTTTCTAACAAATTAAATAAAGGCTACGACCTCAGCAAATTTAATTGCACTGTGAAATTACCAAAATACCCTTTCGCCCAAAAAGACGAAAACGCCTTTCTTTCTTCTTGATTCTTAAAT